GAAGCAAAAGGCATAGGCTTTGCGCGCAAAATCAAACAAATCTAGGGTAAGGAACCAAACAAATCAATTTCGTGCAGAGAAGAAGAAATGGAAGATGATCTACGAAACGAATAAATCAATCCGAAATCCAAGGTCGAAACGAACGGAAGAGAATTTTCCAATTGGAAAAGGGAAAATCAGATCGATTACCTGGACTGAGGCCCGCTTTCCAGGGTCGGAGGAGGCAGACACTTTCGCTTCCCACCCGAAGCTTTCACCATGCCTTCACCACACAGAGCAGTGTGTCTACAGGGACGGGACGGAAGAGATACAAAGAGAAAATCAATCGACCCTCTCCGCGCTCACGCGAATCGTGGTTGTATTTATAAAGGGATAAGATATCCAAATATGTAGTCAAAACTGAACTACTGGGCCGCCCAGGCCAACATGTTACTGTAATATTTTTACATTGATTGCCAGTTGTAGTGGTAAATTTGTGAAGTTTGTGATCATTGTGTTTGTGAACCTAGCATTGTTTTAACCAAATTATTAAGGATTGAACTCGTCTAGACCAATCACACTGAATAAAAGTATATTTTGTAATTATTTTGCTCAATAAATATTTTCATATTTTGTCCTTAATTTGTAATTTGCAACAGGGTGAAATGATTATTTTACCCTTGTTGTATGGAATAAGTAACGGGGGGAAAGTATATGTAAAGGTAAAATGGTAATGGTGAAATGATTATTTTATCCTTGTTGGCTTTTCTTTTGTGAGTGTGTACCATATGGCTCACATAGTTTTAAATGAGAAAATAAAATGAAGAAGAGTAACTTATTTTAGGGATAGTTTAGGTATTTTATTTTTAAAAGTTTACGAAAACAACTAACAGACAACTTATTTTGGGACGGAGAAAAAAGACAAACAGACAATTTAAAATGGGACGAAGGGAGTAAATATTATTTAAAGACCAAAGTTAATATTTTAAAATTATATTTTAAAATAAATTTAGTTTACTAAATTTACATGATAATTAAATACTACCTCCGTCCCCCTGTATTTGTCCACTTTCATTTCTGCACACCACCCAATGCACTTCTTTAATCCATTTTATCTTATAATTTAGGCTTACACATTGAGAGATTTTGATGAGTCAAAGTACTTAGATGAACAGTTCCAAAAGTCAAATGTGGACAAATACAAGGGGACGGAGGGAGTATATTTTTTCTATTATTCATAACGAGTGCGATAATTTGATTAAAATTAAACTTTGGCCATCTTTTTTTAATTTACTTTCTTGGGTGAGATTATATTATTTTTTGTACCGTTTTTAGAGTGTGTTGTAACTTGGTAAATGTCAAAAGGGATATGCTAGGGATACACATTTGGTGTACCCCAAACGTACACCACCCTCCTTTTAATCATTCATTTTATTTTATTTTATTTTAGTTTTGGAAAATGCGAGGGGTACACCAAAAGTGTATCTCAAACATCCCCACCCCCTCTCCATCACCACATAAAAAAGGCAAAAAAATTTCAAAAAAAAGTAAAAATAAAAAGAAAATAAAATGAATGGTGTAGAGGCAAGTAGTGTACATTTGGGGTACCCCTAGTATATCCTTTTTTTTTTTTGAAATTTTCTTGCCTTTTTGTGTAGTGATGGAGAGAGTGGGAATATTTGAAGTATATTTTTTTTTGTTGTGTATGGCTCACATCTTCCATGTCAAAATAGGCAATAGGAAAGTGAGGAAATATGTGGATAAGCTGATGAAAAAATCCAAGCTATTCGAAGTAGAATAGCAATCAGATAGAATCGAAGAAAATGGAGGTGGCTGTTTCTTTGAACCCCCTATCGAGACCACCGCCTCGAAGAATTCCGGTGGACGGCGCCACTTATTCGTCACTCATATGCTCCGGAAAGACCGCCGCCGCCGCCCGGAAAAGGCAACGCGGTGGATGTTTATTGGTGATTGAAGCTAAGGGAAAGAAAGGGATGGCACCGCGTCCTTATCAGCGCATGAGTCCTCCTCCTCCCCCTCTTCCCCAGCTCGAGGATGATGGCAACCCCAAATTCGTCATTTTCATTCGCATGGCCACTGTTAGAAACCCCCTCTCTCTGTCTTTCTCTCTTGTTGGATGCCATATGTATATAATGAACACATTTTATTGATTTTCTGCATTTTTTTTGATGATTTGAATGATGAAATTATGAATCATTTTATATCTGTAATAATGGATTGGGTCTTTTGCCACTGGCTTTTTGGCACACCTTAAGGGCTCAGAAAATGTCTCCCTCTTATCAAATTCTACCCACCTCTTTTCACTTTTCAACATTTTTTTAACTCCGTGAAAGTCAAATCAAGAAGTTTTTGACAAGATGGGGGGAGTATTTGTAGTAAAATTGGTGACATTAAGAGCTTGTTCACTCAACTCTTTTGTGAATTCTGATGCACTTCTTTCAAATGTATTGGTCAGATTTATCTTTGGTTCCCACTCAATATTGTTACTGGTGGTACAAGTGCGAAACTTATGGTTGCTGCAAAGGAAAACTTTATTGGGAAGTACATTTACAAGGATACTCTAGCAAGGAATCTTGCAGCTGTTGTTTACCGGGTAAGTAATTACCAAGCTGTAATGTATTTTGAATGCTGTATGAATTTGATTTCCCTTTAAATGTGTCAATGCATGTTTGTTTGAGGTCTTTTTAAAAACAGGCTTTCTACGTACTCCTTGGGTATAGGTAAAACTTGAGGATATCTTGCCCACTCTTGAATGCGAAATGCATGGTTTGCATGATTTTGTGTGGCTAATATGATTCAGAACTGTTCTACTCGAGCACATACATATGATGTTTGGCTCATAGAGATGAAACAATAGGGATGAATCTTGGAAGTGTGTTAAAGTGTTCTTTTGGGGTATCAATGAAGTTTTGATGTTAAGATGTGAATGGCTAAAATGATTTGAAATCTAAGCGACATAGCATGATCTCGTTTACTCAGAGCAAACATTGGCTGATATGATTGGATTGATTGAAGCGGATGAAACCGTGATTGAAATGACTAAATTAACTCATTGAATTCAATTATGCACAAATAAATATTTAAAATAAAATGATTCTTTGTATATGAATTATGAAAATGATAGAGATAGACAATACTTATCTTATTTATACCAAAGAATAAGCATTCATAGTCTAAATTATCACTACTGTAGGACTTATTTTTTTAGAAAAATTACTTTTATAATGTACTTGTATAACTTAAAACATAGTTGTGTTTCGTTTGGAATAAACTTCTGAAATGATATTGCTTTGCATAGTCTTTGCTTGCACGTGTATGGTGTGCTTAATGTGTTTCTGTTATTGGGGCAGGATGAAAAGGAGCTACAAAAAATGGCAATGAAACGACATCGTGTCTTGCGTTCTGCCACAGAGTTTAGATATGGATACAAACTTGTTGTATGCTTCTATTCTAGTCTCTGCTTTCTTCGGGTCTGAATATAGGGCTTTTGAGGGTTTAGTGTGTGTGAAATGTCATATGATCACATATCATGTTAATCCTTCAACTTTTATCAAATCTCAAATATATATTCCCTCTGTCTTTAAATCAATTTCACACTTTCCTTTTTTAGATGTCTACAAATCAAGTTTACACTTCTCCACTTATGTATTAGAAAACACACATGTTGACAACTTTAATTCTCTTTTCCAAATAATCTTCAACCACACATTTTTCATTTTTTAGCAGTTTTCAACACTTTTCTTTAACTTCGAGAAGTCAAACCATAAGATTGGTTTAAAGACAGATGGAATATATATCAAGATATAGATCATAGGCTAAGCTCTCCAAAGCCTTCACCTCCAAACCCCTACAAAAGCATCCACCCAAACATAGGCTATGAGCACAATATTTGTATTAACAAGACTAACTATCTCGTTATTATTATGATTATTATTATTTCTATAATTACTATTTTTACCACTATTACTATTATTTGTCAAAATATGCAGGAGAATAATAATTTGAGGGCTGCCCTTTCTACCTCAGATATCATCGAGGTAAAAGCTGATGCGGCCTTAGTAGTTGGTATGCCGTTTATTCTACTCATGCATACTTCCGATAGCATTTGTAACTCTTTGAAATTGCAGCTTCCACAAAAGCATGAGCTCAAAACTGTTCTTGATAAGGTGAAAGACTTCTTCGGAGATGCCAAGGAATCATTTGGGAAGCTGACAGCTCTTAATTTATCTTCAGATTCAACCGATGAAGATTTGGATGAGAATTCAAATGAAAAAACTATGTGAGCCATATGGTACACACGCGCGCAAAAGAAAAGCCAACAAGGGTAAAATAATCATTTCACCATTACCATTTTACCTTTACATATACTTTTCCCCCTTACTTATTCCATACCACAAGGGTAACATAATCATTTCACCCTTAAAGTGTCATCTGGCCATATGGGTGGTCAACATGATAAAAAATTTAGATCTGAGGACTGTGAACTCAGTGTGAAGTTATTTGCTCTGTTGTCTTTTACAGTGTACTTAACATTATGTGCTTGTACACTTATCAGGTTGAAAGGGTAAAAAAAAGGCGGCGTAGTGGAAAATGAGGTTCATTTAAATTCAGATATGGACAGAAGTATAAGAAGAAGAACACAAGAGGAAGGGGAAAAGTTTTGGCCTTTTCATTGTGTTGATACCCTACAAGAAGAGGATTGTTTCTAGTACTCAAAGGGCAAACTGTATTGTACACTCCAATGTACCTACTTTCGTGTACATACAATGAACATTATGTAACTCGTAAATGTGCATACACTCAATGTGAGCTTTTCGGCAATTTCATTGTTAAGATTTCGTTTTCTCTTTTACGCGTCATCAAAAGTGTTATTAGCAAGACAAAAGTATTTTTTAACAACAAAACGAGCATTGTGCGATTATTAGATGTATATATATTAATTTCATAACTTACATGCTTATAAGTATATGCAAAAAATAAATGTGTGGAATGAGTATTTTATGATTTATAAATGTGAATTCCTCAGGAAGAAGATGTACAACTTTTACTACAAATTTTAAAGCCATCTTTCTGGCAGCAATTACCAATACATGGATGTAAATTGTGTATGGCAAACATATAATATGAAAATCCTAATTTCCCAATCATTTTCGAGTCCAGTCAATTTTTTTTATATATTTCTCAGATTCAACGAACACATTGTTTTTTTGTAAAGGACACGCATGGAAGGTCGCATGTTATGAACATATATTACATCGTGATAGAGTTAATAATGTTCAAAGAAGAAACACTATGTGCAGTGATAGGGAAATGAATTTTGTGAAGTGTCTCAAATTTAATTTATTTTTCTACTTCATAATTGTTCTGAGTCTCCAAAAAAAGCTCAAAGCTTAACTTGACATAAAATTTAAAGGAAATGAAAATTATGGTTAAAGGTGATGTAGAGAAGAGAAAATGATAAGAAGCTCAATTTTTTCCAAAATAAGAGAAATGCTTTTTCTGGTTATGAAAGTCGAGGGGCTCAAGGAGAGAGAGTTATATACTTGTATTTCAAAAAACACCTTATAAAACGAGTAATGCTAGAGTCACAAACAAAACAATCAAAAAACTCACCATCTTGCCAAATGTGTAAAATAAAGGTACCAAATACTACGTAATGGATTCAAATAAAAAAAATAAATACATAAATGCACAAAAAGCAAAATTGTGAATTTTGTGAGTGTTTTATTTCCAACTCTAGCATTACTCTTATAAAACAGAAAATATATAATCCGTGTTAAGAAAATGCATCACTAAAGCCACATAGTATAAATAAACTGTGTACAATTAGTCAAGTAACTGTACAACACAGACCATCTAAATGTGCAAAATTTTCACCCAAAAAAAACGTCTTATTTTGTGATTGAAACCTACTCTGCACATGTATAATACATCAAATGTTCCAATGCAAGAAAGTATATATTGAGTGTGTCCAACCTGCATTGATAAATGCACAGACCATCTTTCAGCCTTCTCAAGCTTGTCATCAAATTACATATGTCTGTTCGATCCACGAAGCCGCAACATTCCTTATAACATTGCTGCAATTTCAGATTTTCTTATCAATCAATCAATAAGAGAATTCATGGCCCCTGATTGATATATACTTTTTGACCCATATAGAAATGTCCTCTAAACAAGCCTGAGCTTGTGGGGTCTTTAGCAGCACCTCAAGGGTAGCAAACTCATGGACCGTGTCCTTATAATCAAGAAGAGGAGCATCTACATAAAGCTTCCTAAGCTCCTCTGAGTACGCAATTGCCCTATCCCGCATCCAATCATGTTCGGCGACCACTGTGAGTGTTGGGGGCATATGCTTTAGGGCCATCTCCCCACCTTTTACAGGGACGAGAGGGTTGGCTGATGGATGATCCAAACTGAATTCATTTTCTGGTAAGAAAAGCTTCCATGCAAGGAGGGACATGGTTTTGTCGTATAGGTAGGAGTTGGCCAATTTGATCTCGGAACGTGTTGGGGTGGTACCTATGAAGAAAGGGTACAAAAGGACTTGAGCCACTATCTTCACCGGGTCCAAATGTTTCCCAGACGAAATAGCATATCTTGTGACATAGTTCGCAATGTTAGCACCACAGCTGACTCCAAGGACAACACACCTACAAAACAAAACAACTGCGTTAGAGGGCAACTAAGTATTAATGATGATACCGCTAAAACCCGAGGATTTTGAATTTTGTTTGGTACAAGCGAAAGAAATATGGAGCATACAACAACAACATTATCCCAGTGCCTCAAAGGCTCCTGCCCATTGACTGGTGGGGGATGGATTGTATGCAACCTGACCCCTATGTTTAACATAGGTTGTTTCCAAATGACCCATGATGAGCATAGAAAGGGCAAATATAACTTTATGACAAAATGAGGGACGCCACACATGATTTTTTTTCTCTTCCCTATTCCTCCCCCAACAACTTTCACCTTTTCTCTCATCTTTCTTTCTTTATTCTCAATTGCCCTCATAATAAACAAGGCGTTACCAAGTTCAAAACCAAATGGTGCAAGTAGCCTAATGATTCTACAGATAGGTACAGCAACCTTCGAAGGTGACCAGGATCTCAAATCGTTATGAGCAAAAACCCAAAAGAATCAAGTTTGAAAACCAAGAAAGCCTCAGGTTACATTTAAAGCAAGAAATTCTGACTTCAGAGAAACTCATAACATGCTTGCAAGTTCTTCACAATACACAGACTGAGATATAGTACTGTGATAGCACTCAAAGAAATGATCTTCTCCAAAACAGGTTAGAATGGCTTGTCAGCACTTCATTATTGTTATAAGATAAATTAATGAAAGGCTTCCCATGGAAGATGGAGCTTAATCTTTTAAGCAATTGTAACTTTAAATAATACCAAAACGCAATGGGCCAATGAGCTCAATAAACAAGAAATGATGAAAGATCAAGCTATTCAGCTAAAGGAAAAAATGGAGTGTATATGCAGAAGGTATACATAAAAATCAAATAACATGAATGAAATGCACTATAGAATGAAAAGAGATGGAGAGAGAGAGGGAGTTGAGGATTGTACCTGGAATGGTCAGCATGGGCAGCTAACCAAGGCTCAACCATTGAAGAGCCGAAACCATCAACTATTTGCCTTCTCCTCCCATCTTCGCCCCCCACCGGCCTCCCATTCACAAACGACCTGCTACACTCAGCTAGATTCGCCTGTTTTGCAAGCCAATTCAACACCTTCAACCCATCATCAAACGCAGCCGGGTAGCGGCTCTCAGGAGCCAGCCTGTAACCGACTGCCACAACAATGGAGTCGCAGGATTTGGCTATCCTTCTACAAAACAAATCATTGGCAACGGTGTCACAACCCCCACCCACCCACCCACCACCATGAAACTGCAATATCACCGGCAATTTCCTACAGTTCCTTCCATTCTTATCCGGCAAATACCCTCCATACCCTCCACTTTCAGACAAAGCCGGACTCTTCTCGTCCCTGGAGCTCACTCTCGCTGACGAAACCCTAGCTTTGACCTTAGGGATTGCGGCAGGCAACGCGACAGCGGAATAGGGGAGAAAAATCCTGAGAGACAGAGAAGTCGAGGGGTCAATGTGGAGATCCTTAGTGGCGACGCCGTCCTCGCCGAAGCTAGGGTTGACGGCGGCGATGGCCTCGTCAGGGCGCGTAACGACGCCGTATACACGATCGGAATCGTTGCTGATCGGAGACTCGATCAATGTCTGCAATCGGCGTTTGAGGAGGAATTTGAACAAAACGCTGTACAATTTCACAGCCACGCTCGGCATCTCCGACGCGCATTACATTAGGAGTCGCACATCTACATGTATATCCATCAATATATACAGATTAACATTGAAAATTAGGGTTTTTGAGTTTGAATGGGAAGAGAGATTGATTCAAATCTCTGGAATTTTCCGAGAAGGAGTTCGAATCTTCGGAATGTGTTTGAATCTTTGTTTTCTTTATTACTCCACATTTCAATGGTCGTGACGGGGGACGATGGCGCGTTCTACGGCGACACGTCAGCGGCGTTGAAGGTGGACTAGAACGGCATTCTCGCTCTAACCGCAGTCATCTCTTCCAAAACAAGTCATCTCTTCCCCTTAGTTTTTTCAAGATTTTAATTCCATAAAATTATTCCAAAGACTACATATATTATCTGAAATATAATCTGCCCTATGTTTTTTTGGCAAGAGTTTTTAAATCTTACTCCGTATATTATTCGAAATATACTTTATCCGAAATATATCCTAGAGTTCTTACAATTTAGACTACTCCCTCCGTCCATGTAAGATATTCCCATTACGCGTTACGAAGCTTGACCGACTTTATTTTCAATTCAATTTAATTCATTATATGAGTAAAATTTTAAAATAAAATTTATATAGTAATAAACTACATGAAAAGTTCTACAAAACTAGAGGTGACAAGACTATATTATTTTATGAAATGACTAGTAAAATTGAGCAAACAAAGTGATTAAAGTTTGACCCTGTGAATAGTGTCTGGGAAGATCTATAGTGGACAGAGGGAGTATTATACTTTGAGGGTATATTATGTCCATTTAGGCGTTGCGATTAAAAATATTTTTATTTTGAAAAATCGAAGGATTTTATTTAAATTTAATAAAATTATGATTATGAAAGTAAAATTTAGTATTTGGCAAAGTACTAAAAAGTAAAATTATAACGGCCAAATAGACAGAATGTACTCAAGAATTACTCCCTCCGTTCCAGAGTATTTATCCATTTTCATTTTTACACATCATCCAATACATTTATTTAATCCATTTTATCTTGTAATTTGTATATTAAAAAATTATAGAAATTATATATTAATAATCTATATGTTAAGACAAATTAAACAAGATCACACATGACTATATTTAGGCTTACACATTGAGAGAATTTGATGAGTCAAAGTGCTTAGATGAACAGTTCCAAAAGTCAAAAGTGAACGAATATAGCGGGACGGAGGTAGTACATTACCAAATAATATGAAACCTGAGAGTTATCAACCGAAAATCGAGGCTATCCCAAATATATTTTAGATAATATGGTACATGAAAGTCATTAACAAAAAATCAGGGATAACCTGGAGTAATTTTTTGATTGAAAATTGTTAGGATGCCACCGCATGGATACTACCATGAGTGCACACATGCTTCGCATAGTCACACAAATGATTACTATCTGTGTTACATAAATGATTACCTGGAGTAGATAATATGGTACATGAAAGTCATTAACAAAAAATCAGGGATAACCTGGAGTAATTTTTTGATTGAAAATTGTTAGGATGCCACCGCATGGATACTACCATGAGTGCACACATGCTTCGCATAGTCACACAAATGATTACTATCTGTGTTACATAAATGATTCACATCTACGCCATAAGTGAAAAGTATGGGTACACCTATGGTGATAGTAGCCGTGGCACCCTAGCATGACTACGGGGCCGCTTTTTCCTTTAAAAAAATTTCTGCTTAGCTGGACAAATAAAAGTCATACACATCTCAGGTCATGTTCTCTTCACCTGATCTGACTGCTTTTGATCTTAGAATAAATTCTTATTTGATCTGATTTGATTGGAATATAGCTATATTTAAAACTACTCAATGTTTTTTATGTGATGTGATCTGATCTGGTCTGATCTAATTTGATCTGATTCCAACAAAAATAAGTAATAAGTACAAAAAATAAATTGAGGTAAACATGACCTTACTATATACTCCTTATTTTGTTAGTCACATGATTCATCATATAGATTGAAACATTTTTATTTTGGTCATACACCCCTCTGACATCTTTTTTTTACTCAGATATGGTCATTCATCAAAAGAGGGTGCGATGAATTGAAGAAACATTAGTTGGAAAAATAAGAGTGAAAATATAATACCCTGCTTTTTTAATCTATACTATTCTTATCTATATTATTCTTAAAAGTTGGAAAAAATGCGCCAAGACGATTTTTCGTCCAAGCGTCATCTAAAAAATGGTAAGAATCTAAATAGCTTTGAAATATTTTTTCGATAATATAATGGAAAATATTTGTACCTTATATAGTTATTTTAGATCATGTAAATAATTTAAAATTTTGGATATAAGGCCTGTTTGAGAATAGCGTTAGCGATTAGCGTCAGCGTTTTGGATAAAATTTTAACGGTGCAGATTAATTTGAAAACGCTAACGCTAAACGCTGCTCGTAGATAGCCTTTTGAAAACGCTAACGCTAATCCCTAAAGCTATTCCCAAACAGGCCCATAACTTGAGCCGAGAAACACAAGGACAACACGTCATTAATCACTTAATGACTTATATAGTTTAATTTAATGTCAATTTAATTATGGAAACATTTTTTGTTAATACATTACCTTTTATGCATTTAATGATGAAAACATGTTTGTATATTACTAGCATTTTACCCGTGCCACGCACGGGTCAGAACGAAATGGTTTGTGATTATATAATGTGAAAAATTAAACTTAGTTGACTTTTTATAGGGCATTTCATATAAACATCAAATACAAATCATTTAGGTTTACTTAATTTCTACAAAACTATAATTCTTTCGTACATAAATTTTAAAAACTTATATAAAAACATTAGTGTTTTTTATGAATTATCTCCCCAACATTAATTTTAAAAACTTGAATTACTGGTCTTGATTCTATGATTCAAAAAGAAGATAATTTTTCTCCACCATTGATTACAAAAGACATAATTTTTCTCCCCCAAAGTGGCTAATGCCGACGCATCAACCCATACACCTCTAATACAATTTAGAATTTGAGAATCAAACCTAAGTGACTTCCATCAAGCTCTTAGGGCTGGCAAAGTCAAGAGAGAAACTCAACTTGTGTTTAAATTAGGTGTCTAACCGTCTATCATGTTAATTTGAGTATTTTTTTATATGACAAAGTCTTGCCTTATACTTAAATTCATATAGAGTACTTACTTTATGAACCTTAATGCACTCACAACATAAAGAAATGAACTTCTTGTAAAAAAAGAAAAATTTACTTGTTAGTCCATAATATTTGTGAAAAGATCCACGTTACACATGACCGCAAAAGCATTACTCCAACATGTATTTAAATCCAAGATTCACGTTACACATGACTGCAAAAGCATAAGTCCAACATGTATTTAAATCCAATAACCATACTCTTTGTCACGGAATGTGTTAAGGGGCCATAATAGGACTTCTACGAATCATAATATATTGTTATATTTGAGCTAAAATAGTTTGTAAATACATGCAAAGGCAAGTTTAAATAGCAAATACTGAGCTACCAAGTTCAACCTATTGGTTTGTGACGCTCATGCATGCCTCCAATCCTTCCATTGCTTGAACCGCTACTACCACATAACCCTAATTCAATAGAATCATTATTCTTAAACGCACATAAAATGGAATGATGTAAGAACAAAAAGAAGGTAAGAATAATATCTTAATTCTTCACTTGTAATTTTAAAATCTTTACAAATGAATATAAAGAACATCATAAGGTGTTCAGTTCCAAACCTTAAAGACCGAGTCTAGTTTTACTCAATGACATATAATGAGAATAAAGTCATGAAAATCTTTCTTTATAGACATAAGTTGAATTTTAAAAAATCACAACAAATGTGAGGTGAAGAAAATAGAACATGTCTTTGAAAATTTTAGAAGTAATGTGGTAGACACTCTACGACAAAGTGTAAATTTTTATTTGGAAATGGTGAGCCAAGGCACCAGAACATCATACTTTAAATATCTACTGTTGGTATTAACACACTTACCATGGCTGCTGCTACTGAATTATGTGATGTGCACCTCTTCTTTGTCAACCTTGATCCTCAATGGTCTGAAAGATACAATGGAAGAATTATATCATTAGCTGCACCCCTGCACTATTATAAAATCACATACCTCGTTTCTTTTCTAATACGGAGTATTTTGTTTTCACCTCTCGAAAAGGATGTGTAGACCATCAATATATTTTAAATTAAGAATATTGTAGCCAAAGATAAAATTTAAGTGATTAGCCTATTTTACTTACAAAGTTGCAAGGTTCTGGGTGTACTTGCTCCATAACAACTCTCTTCACATCTGAAGTGCTAAATATTCTTTCAACAAATGTATACAAACCCTACAATTTTCTGCCAAATTAAAGTCTTAAGAACACATTTTATTTCTTATAATCTGAAGTGTAGGACAAAATGAAAGAAAAACAATGCAAACATGTGTATGTCATCCAACTCTAAGACAATATTCCTCTAATCAAGACCCCTTTTGTTTGAATTGAACCTTGGAATTCAAGCATCTCTAAAAACAGACATTACTCCAACTCTAAGACAATCTTCCTCTAATCAAGACCCCTTGAATCAGGTTTGTTTTCACAAAAATACAATAAAAAAAACAGACATTACTCCAAATCACCAAAGGGGAATAAAATTAGGAGAAAGAAAGAGAAACAAATTACCGTGAAAAAAATTGAAATTTGGGAAAAAACCTAATTTTGAACGGATTGAAATACTGTGAATGGATTGCACTGTAAGGTTTTCAAGGAATAAAAACTAAATCTGGATTTTGGAAAGAAACGTAAGTTTGAATGGATTTTGTTCGATACTACACGAATTTAATAAAAATTAAATTCGGAATTTGAAAACAAACCTAATTTTGAAGCCAATAATATCTTTTGATTCGAGATTATGATCAATGGAGACTTTCCTTCATGAATACTCTGCGTGTAACCCCGATCTGAAAAATCGCGCAGAATATGCGATGGACTTGAAATCGGCGGACGACGAGTTAGGCGATAGAATAGGAATGCGGAAGTTTTTTTCTTTTTGGGAAAGCATCATGAATTAGGAGATGAACGGATCAGAAGACGCGTGGTGTCATAAAACTAAAAGTCTAAAAATGCCACATGTCAACATTCTAAACATCAAACTCTCAAATATTATATTAAATGATTGGTTTATATACTTTTTATTTAATGTGAATTTAATTATAGACACATTTTTACGATAATATATTACTCCCTCTGTGTCATTTTAAATTGTCTATTTACATTTTTCCTACGTCCCAAAATAAGTTGCATGTTAGTTATTTTGGTAAATTTTTAAAAATTAAATACCTAAACTATCCCTAAAATAAGTCAATCTTCTCACTTTATCTTCTCATTCATCATCACTTCTCCTAAAAAGTAATGTCAATTTCAAAAAAGCAACTCTATTTTTTATTTTTCTCAAATATGCTCAAAAGTCAAAATAGAGAATTTAAATTAGGACGGAGGGAGTACCTTTTATGAAGGAAATATTTTTTTAAATAGAGGTAATATATTTTTTTATTAGGCGTGTATTATGTTAAAATAATTAGAAACACTAATGTAACAATGGCAAGGATTGAAATTGCGTTAAAAAATTGCGTTAAAATAACATTTTCGTCATGGAAAAATTTATGTGCATTAATACCTTATGTAGCTTTAATATAATGTCAATTTAATTATAGAAAACATTTTTAGCTTTTAAAAAATTTAAGCTTAAGAGATTTATTTGAAAAGTTATGATCGAAAATCAATTAAAGTGAAATTCTAAAATTGAACTTTTGAACTGATTGAAAATTTATTGACCGCTTTCAACAAATTTTAAAAAAAGTAGTGGACAAACAGGCAACAAACAACACCACAATCCACTTTTGAATAGCAAACCCGATATTACTAAAAACAAAGGTCAAGATAATACTATGCACGATCCGATGGACTCTGTTAAGGAATTCAACAACCGCTAGGGCAAGGGAACCAAACATATCAAAAACAAATGGGATAAACACTTGTTGATTTGTTAAGCAAGTTTTCTTGTGTTTAGCAACGCACTTTGCCTATTCTGCCTTCAAAAATGTCCGACCAACAACAAACCCATTTTCCCTGAGCCTAATAAGAGGAGACATCTGTAAGGTCCACCCAACATCACTGACAAAACCATGTACCTAGATAACTTGTTGCAATTCTTGCAATGGATTGCAATTCTTGAGGCAAACTGCGCAAGACTAATCAACTAGAAACAAAGAGATCAATAATCAATACTTGATTAAGAATTTTTAAATGTATATAGTAGAATTTCCGGTAGAAAATATTATACTCCCTATGAGGGCCATTTTCCCTTTCTTTTATGATAGGTTTTTGTGCAGGTCGAGCCGGGGGTCTCTTGGAAACAGCCTCCCTACTTTCAAGTAGGGACAAGGTCTGCGTACACACACCCTCCCCAGACCCTACTGTAGTGGGATTCAACTGGGTTGTTGTTGTTGTTGTTGTTGGAACATAAAAAGAGCTGAACAACCCTTATAAACAGAATCAAGATAAGAATTTCATTAACAAGTATAATGTCTGCATCTTTGGGATCTTGGAGACTAAAGTCAGAGATGGTAAGTTTATGGCAATTGAGGATAGATTATTTAGAGACTGAGGCTCAATTATAAATAATAATGCCCACCCTCTAGGGAGAATTTGGCTTGTTTGGAATCAGAATAATGTTATCATCAATGTTCTTGATGTTACTGACCAATCCATCCATACACTGCCAAGGGAGGATTGTTGCTGATAACAGAGGCTTCTATCTCACTTTTATCTATGCCCAGAATGAATAATAAAAGAAGAGAGCTATGGGAGACTCTTCAAAGAATTTCAGTTGATAAAGCTTGGTGTGTTGTGGGAGGTTTTAACTTAATATACCCTCAGGAAACTTAAATACCCTTTGAAAAAGATGAGTATAGGGGTAAACTTCAGCATCTAGATATGCAAATTGCTGAAGTCATCATAATGTACAAGAAAAGCTAAAACTTGGTGTATCATTTGTGAAGATCTTTTAGCCAATGGAAGAAATTGACCTAGGAGAAATTAGAGGTTTTCATTATTATGCGGTTTGATATTTGCCTTCCAAAAGGGAATGGCAGTTTGGGTCTTAAGAATTTTATCATGTGGAATAAATCTTGCATTATGAAATTAATTTGGGATATAGCCATGAAAAAGGACATTCTTTGGATAAAATGGATCCATATCAGATATATTAAGGGAGAGATGTTTGGGATTGCCAGGACGAAAAAAAAGGTGTTTGCTTTTATTGGAAAAAAACTACCAAAACATGTGATTTGATCAGAAAGTCATTCATTAAGGGAAGATAGCATGCCACCAGTCGCAGTAGGAATAAATACCTCCCAGCCAGGCCCTTTCAGAAGAACGGCATTTGAACATGCCTGAGAATTGGCTTTGGCATCTTGGGAATGAAGGGCAAGTAAGTCGCTGTAGTCCATCACTCTTATCTTCTGCACCAACTTATCTTCTGCACTTTCTTCCTCTCGGAGAAGAGTCAACAGATCCTCTTGCTGCAAAATGATGATAAAAATACCCTTAGCCTCTCTGTTTGGTATACAGAATTCAAACTATGGAATTGGAATTGGAGACAACAATTCCAATTTTGCTGTTTGATATAACAAAAATATGTGGATTTGGAATTGGTAGTGCCAAAAGGCTATTGGAATTGGAGAATTATATTCCATCTAAATCAATTCCATAGAATTTCAACTCTGAATTCACTTCCAATCCCGTGTACCAAACGGACCCTTAGAATATAGGCCTAAGAAATCTATATCCCCAACAACCAGGTCTTAAAGGAATCCTACTTTTGAGGAATTTTAGGGGGGAGAATTTCAAAAAATGGAAGAGAATGCTGTGAAATGGGGGGGGGACAGCACAATGGCCAACTTCCAACCAGTGATGCAAACCTGCAAGACATCATTAGCATTTGCGTTGCTTCGCTCCTGCTGGAATTGGCCTTACTAGATACCCAATTGCTCAAGCTTTAACTTACTAAAAGCTCTTTTCAGCATCCGGCCCTAATAAAAGCACACTCAAAGTTGCAAAATTTAACTCCACCATGTGCAGAGAACAATACAACATATACTTCATGAAAAAGCACCACAGGCTTCCAATGACTTACCTCAACAGATATCACAGTAGCACGCATGTACACATGAACAGGTTTTGGCTGACCAATCCCTATGGCATCGATCCATTGCCTGTAGATCTATCTGTGGGTTCTGGAAAAAAGGCAATGCCAAACTTACAACAATCAATTTGGATTGACAGAAATAAAAAAAGAACCTGGCGTATAATACAAACTCTAATGTGAGGTAAGCAATTCTTTCATTTTTTATAAGAAGCTGTTTCTAGAACTCAAACTCGCTGCCCAAAGGTCACGCGGGAATGCCTCAACCAGTGTGCCAGGGCTAGATTTCAATGAGGATGGAATCGCAAAAAAAAATCCAGACAAAAGAGAAAAGAAGGGTGAGGAACAAAATAGAAGAAGTACCCAATCACTGTCATACAAAATGCAGGTGTCCGCAGATGTAAGATTAATCCCCAACCAACCAGCTCTAGTACTAAGAAGAAATATCCTATACTGGCTTCCCACATCATTGAACTCTTCTTGAATCTGGTGACAAAAATTTTGCATTGAAAGTAGAATACCCCAAACACAATAGTACTATATAATCTTTGAAGAAAAAAAACACTTGTATAAGAAATAGACAATGTAATATAATGTACCTGTCTTCTTCTTTCATCCAATTTAACAGAGCCATCAATTCTGCAGACTTCAAAACCCTTTTGACTAAAATCGTACTCAATTATGTCTCACATTCTAGTCCACTGAGAAAAGATCAGAACCTGGTGTGCCAGCAATGATTAACAGAGAGTTGGAAGGAAAGATAATAAGACTTCCAAGTCACTAATATACAAGACAATTGAAGAAGCACACGAGCAGGGAATAATTTGTACACATTTTAGCAGTTCGTATCTTGTGTTTTCGGTCCAGCAATTTTCCAACCAGTTTATCAAATAACTGAAACTTTCCACGCAGCCCAACTATTTGCTCCACAGGTGGGAAGAAAACTAACCCCAGAAAAAGTAAAGGTTAAGATTGCCTGTTGTGTTTTGAGGTATATGTACCATAAATTGAAATTAACATACAAGAACCATCAAATTGAGACTCTAAGAGGTCAGGGTGGTTGCAATTCTTCCTAAGTTGAACCATGAGATTGTTGAGTTTTCCTCTGAAACCAGCACGCATTCCTGCATATAAACTACCATGTTACAGAAAAATACAATGCGTCCTTCATCCAAAAATCAAATAATACATTGAAAATAAGCTGCCATAAAATATTTGATACTATGCCGTGTAACCAAGCATTCCCAGAAACATAAACGGTTAACATTACCATTTACAACATTCGCAATAAGATAGCCTTCCAATGTCTTATTAATGGAGATGCTCCTGGAAATTCTTCTGGTACTCGGTCAGGGTGGCATATAAAATTAATTCTTTCTTACGCGGGAGCATTTGCTCTAAATCTGCCTTAATTCTTTGAAGAAGAAAAGGGCGCAATATTGCATGTAGTTTTGCCACTGCCTGGATTACTCAAATGTCAACATTTCAAGGGAATAAGTTCAGCTTTGAAGAGGTAGGAGGAATCTTACATACCAGGGCTGATTTTACTGCTACATTGAGAGGACAGCCTTATGCCCCCCAACATTAGGCTATCAATGGCTAATGAGACAAAAACATGATACTAAATGGTATACTACTGTTTGAAGTAAGGCCTCTATTCCCAAGCACAAGTTTACCCTTTAGCTTGTTTGTAGGAAGAAACTCCAAACCAAATGCAGACAATAAATTCTTGCAGATTGATGCCACCTGTTTGCTTTACCATGCTGTAGCAGAGGACTGTCAACACCTTATCTATAAGTGTGTTTATGCCCTAGATCTATATGAGAGGATCAATGATTGGGCACATTACATGTACAATGGAAGAAATCATAGTTAACATGTCGCCAAGGTGAGGTGCGACACTAGTGTAACATCATGATGCTGTGGCATCTAGGTGACCGCCTAGGCGACTAGTAGTACATTATAATTGCTATACATTAGTAACACCAATCATAGTATATCACATTATATGTTGTAGATGATAAAGTTCAAACTTCAAATTTAGAAAAAGTTTGACATCCAAGTGATAGAAATTATATAACAACAAAGTGTCAAAAATCCTCAAGAAATGTAGAATCGAACACGTCATTGCTCAACAACAAAGCCTCAAAAATACTAAGAAAGGTAGAAACGAAAACGTCATTGCTCGCATTGTGGACACCATGATTAGGGAAAAGTGGTGCTTGACCAAAGTCAACTTCCACTTCTTCATCATCATCATGTGGAAACACATCTCCCTCAGAATGAACATCACCATCTTAAAATTTCTTGAGCAGTCAACGTTGTTGCGGTAGTAGACCATTTGCATTGATAAGTCGCGACATTAGAACTTGTGCCTTGATTACCTTCATTAATACAACCTCTCTTCCGGACATTTCATCCTTCAAGATTAATAAAAGCGCCAATAGCTTCATCAGGTCGTCCACAAAAAATCTTGTCGTGGATGAGCAACATCATTACTAGCCCATTCGTTATCCCACTGAAAATCCTCATAAATCAAAGGGTTAAAATCAGCTCCCTACTCTTGGCGCTTTTGAAATCTTGTTGCAATCTTACAATTATACCTATACCTGATGATTACCAAGTCATTGAACCTCTTATGCTCCAACTGATTTCTTTTCTTTCAATGAATCTAACACTATGTTTTGTTCAAGGAATTTAGTAGGAAAAGAAAAGAAAATGGTTATCCCTCATTCTCCTCACCAAAATGGAAGAAATTTCTTTGCCATTCTTCTTAGTACATTTTGCCTTCTCATTTTCTTTTCCTTCCACTTTTCTTTTTTTCCCTCTCTAACCAAACAAGAAATATGTTTTCCTTCTTATCTTCTTTTCCTTTCCCTCTCAAATTCCTTGAACCAAATATAGTGTAAATAAAATTAAAAAATCATTGGTAGTTAATTTTTATGTTTAAAGTTTTATTAGAATTTCAACTAGGGTGGGCACGGGCCGGTCCGAGTCCAAATTTATATAAACCGGACTCGGCTTGTTTTTATTAAAACGGTCCGGGCCGGAACGGGTTTTCAAAATTTTAAAATTGGAACCGGACCTAACCCGGCTTGTTTGAAACGGGCCGATTCCACGGGTCAACGGGTCCGAACCTGTCATAATACTAACATTCTTCAAAACAAATAGAAATTATAGAATAATGCCTTCAAAGTTCAAAAAAGAGGAATAAATGAAAAAAACAATGACAAAGAGGGGCATGAGAGTAAAGTGTACACCCCATGATCATCCAACAACAACAACAAAAAGAAGACAACCACATTTTGGCATTATAATGTCAATAGGTTTCAAAAAG